TCTTGAGCTCAGTCGATAACGAACAATACTTCTGCTCGTATACAGAGGACGATGCCAAACGGGTTTTGTTAGATGATCGAGTATACACGAAAATCATGCACCCGCTGCAGATGTCTGTTAGCAACGAAATACAGATATAGGCACAAAAGTAAATCGTTCATTTGTAAGTTATATATGTATGTACATACATTCATACACAATACATGTAGCCGATCTATATCCGAAACCAAGTAGAAATAAAGCTTAAAGGCAACGAAATGGCATGTAAGTGAAAACGTGTCTCGCATCAAAAAGTTGTGCGTAACTAAAGCGTAAATGAGTATGGCTACACATGTATATGTAAATACTTATTATAAAAATGGGAAGAACGCAAATTTATATTCGAAAAAGTCACGCAATATTTTTTGCTACCATATTAAGTTAATATGTATGTAGTATGTTGCCTAGACATATGGGTGCTGCTTAGATGGATACACATACATATACATATATACGTACACGCATTAAACGCTCCTTTGCTATATGCACGTGCTTTCAATGCTCACTCATACCCACTTTCCTACATTGTGGCAAGAGCAAATTGTGTTCATTAATACAGCCTTTAGTGGTATTTATTTATTGATAAAGTTTTGTTGTTGTTCGTTTGCTTCGCGCGGCAACTAGTTGAACATTGAAATTCAATTTACACGTACATATGTACGTACGTTTAATATTTTCGACTTTCTCTGTTTGGCGCCGCTAATTTTGTGTTCATATAAACCTAGCATTTAGTTGTATGTACATAACTGTGTTCGTATGGAAAAGTAGCTTACGTCGAAAGGTTGGCTTTAGTATAAATCGGCATTCGCAGCATACGATTGCGAATGACTCACCGACTCTAAGCCGTTGAAAAACTTTTGGCAAATAAACGTGCAAGAAATAGTTCCGATACTAGCAAGTCAATATTCTTGTTAGGTCTCATCCAAAAATTCCTTGTTTTTTAAAGAATAAAGGGAATGCCGTATTATACTAAAGCCAGCCTTTCGACATAAGCTACTTTTCCAAACGAACACAGATATGTAAGATGAAGATGACGATGAATATACAAATTTTTTTTCGTTTAGTTTTAGAAACTTATTTCATTTTTTACTTTTTTGAAATTAAATTTGTTTTAATTTTTATACTTTATTGTTTTAGCAAGAAAAATACACATTTTTATATTGAAATAAATTTAATGTACTTATTAAATTTTATCGTTTTACTGTTTTAAAAGAAAAACTTAATTTATTAATTTTTTCTTTTTTTTTAATTTTAATTTTTCTTTTAACTTAAATAGCTAAATATCTAATAGATTTTTTATGTAATTTAATTTTCAGAAAACTAAAAGACATACAGACGTTGTTCCTCACCCTTGTTGGCAGTTCTTTCAAGTAGTATTTCGAAAGACAGAAAAGAGTTTTCAAGCTCTTTGCCGGAATTGTCTTACGAACGGTATTTGTCTTTCGACAGACTGTGGCGAGTTGAAAGACAGTGCCCAGAATTGCCTGTTAGTCTAGGGTTCTTCTGGTCTATGCAATGAATTTTTTCCATACACACAATAAATTACCACACATTTGATACAATAAGTTCTGAACTTATTTCCCTTCTTCACCTTGGTCTCATACAAAATATTATGAGAATTTCACTGCAGCTAGCAAGTATGAAGCTTTAGTATCGTATCAATATCAACCGCTTTATTTTCATTGTGTTTACTTTCAGGTCAAGTTGTTTGATATTTTCTGCTAAACCAGCTGGCAGCAGCAGAAGGATGCATGATTTTTTTTTTTTAATTTTCCATTCATGTAACTTGAAGAGGGCAACAAAGGATTATACTCTTGAAGTTTACTTGTGCGAGCACAAGAGTTTACTTGCCAACAAAGTTGCTTACGAAAGAAGCGCTTACCTGGTAAGTAATGAATGTGAACGTAAAACTTCAGCCATAAACTTGTATACAAAAGTGGGGAGCCAAAAATATAAAGTGGGTAAATGATGTCAGTAGGTAAGCTCAATTTGTACTTTGTTGCAGCCTTCATGATGATGCTTTCGACTTTAATGCTCCTCTATATGAACGAGCGTGTTGGTATGTATTTTGGTTGCAAGCCTTTTTATAATTATAAGTACTTATTAAGTAAGAGTCACTTCACTTATGTTGCTATCAGTGGTTAGCCAGAATTTTGGGAAGGGAGGGAGGGATTCATATAAAATTTGGCATTTTTTTTTAGCTTTTGTAGAAAGATATATGTAGATTTGGAACACATATTTTGAACAGTACAAGATGAAAGCTGAAATATTTGGCTTTTAGCTCGAAGTAAAAAATTGCATTCCTCAAATATGAGGCTTTAAAACTTGTTTTCGAAACAAACCATATTATTTTTTTTTATCATATTGAATTCATCTGTAAAATGGTTGAAAAATTTGTGAATAACTTAAGAAATGTAAGCAGGTTGAAATTTTGTATATTTTGGTCATGCACTACAAAATACTCTTTCGAAGAGAAATAAATCGCATATTTTGTAACATTTTTTAAATTTTGTAGAATTGAAAACTTATATCTTAAGAAAATAGGTTGTATTCGCCTTTTTACTTAATAAAAAAAATTTGATTTTGTAAGTAATATTTGCGGAACCAAATTTTTTTATGTGTTTGAATAAGGGTCACATTTAAGTTTTCTTTATGTTGTTAAAAGAAAACAAAATATAAAAAAATACAAAAAAAAAATAAGAACATGGTGATGAGTATCTACATCGCTCCCATTTTTACTATGATGCTGATTTAGACCTATGATCTACTCTGAGTAATAGAAGAAATTTTTTTATCTGTATCTTTTACGCTTGATATTATTTTTGTATCGAAAATTTCATGTCATTGCCTAAAATTTCGACTCGACTAGTGGATAAAAACGGAAAAACTTGGCAGCACTGCATAATTTCCGACGAATTTCGTCGACAGTAGAGAATGCCTAATTTACGACTTACACAATGAGGCTGTTTATTGGTTTCTATAACGCACTGGTCTGTATATGTATTAGACTATAATGAAATAAATATTAGTGTCTTGTTAGCCTCCGCTTGCAACTATTAAGGTTCGGCGCTTTGGAATGAAGTTACATAGTTCTTTATTTCGAATGCTTAAATATTAATCTTCAAAAACACATTTAGATATTTACTAAACTGCATTCTCATGCCACGCGTCTAACTTTACTTTGATCATCTCTTCCGCACTAACCATTGCGCCGCAAACGTATACTGGAATGCACGTAACCGCTGAAAAGTATATCTCGTTCATAAGTAAAATCAAACCATGTCTTTAAATCCGTTTCGAATGCGATTGCTGGAATTGAATTCAAATCCAAGTGAAATCCACGTAAGTAATACAGGGTGTCGCGCTTGTATGGACATTTGTTCAGCAGATTCCCGTAACGACTCATCGAGCTCACCACCAATTGCAAGATTGGCACTTGATTTTTATTTGCCATAAATTCGCAGCCCTTGATGCGTGTCATATTGATGAGCACAAAATCTTCGGAGCTTCTTGGCATTACGACAAGAATGTTGATGCTGAAGTAATTCAAATCCCGTTTAAATTGCATCTCCGTGGAAATGCTGCTCCGCTTCGTATTCTTACTAATAAAACAAGACACTTTGGCGACATAACCTTTTGGATCTATAGTAGTACAATTGAACCCTTTATAGGTGATGTCAAAGTTGCTCTGCAGGCGAAATGAATTTGAATTAAGCGATAATACTAATTTCAATTTAATAAAAATCTATTGAAAAACGTACCCTCGAAAGCACATTTTGTATTTTAAGTTGCAACAAAGCAAAAAAAACTGGAAAGAGCAGATATTCGAAATGCTTCATTTTTGCAGGTTGATTACTGAGTGAGCAATTCGCTCTAATCACATAAACGTGCCTATAAAAAAAATGTATTTATTGATTTCGGCGTTCGCATTTACACTGCGTACAAAAATTCTTTTGCCCAATTCCAAATTTGCTGGGTTTCTCACAAGCTCGTGAAAATAATTTTATTTTATTGAGTAGTTAGTTTCGAAACCATCAATTTTTATTTTAAGATAAAACTAAAGGGCCCTTTTTCTTCACATTTACTTTCGAATTGTCAATTTTTCTCCTTTCTAAGCATTTTATTCACGATGCGGTTGGTCTACAGTAATTTACTGTCTTGAAATCTTTTTCCTGTCTTTCGAAAAACTAACTGAAAGATCTGCTAACGAGCGTTATTATTTTTGCCTTTTAGCAATAATTTGTCTGAAAACTAAATTAAATAAAAAGTATATTTTTCTTTCTAAAGCAATAAAGACTAAAAATTAAAAGCAATTGAAATTTAGAAATACATAAATAAAATAATCGAGACATAAATTAAGTTTTTGAAATTAAATTAAATAAAAGTAAAATTTATTTACTTTTTTTT